ATATCTGGTTTCATTTTTTGTCGTAAGCAAAAGACAAAGTGAGAAAAGTAATAATTAAGATATAATTGTTCATGGTTTAGTTAAACAGTTTATTCAAGTTCATTATAATGTTCTTTTGGCTCCACGTCATTTATTATCAGAGCATTTCCTCTGGAATTTTGTTTTTTTATAAAAAATAAAAAAAACGAAAAAAAAACAATTAAAATTTTTTATTTCATTCACTATTTTCTTCTTTGCTATTTTGTTTTACTAGTTTTTGTTCTTCATCATCAAAACACTCACTATTTAATTCCCAATGCATTCCATCTCCTTGAGTAGTGTAAATAGGTAACAATGCAGTCAAAATATTAGTTCCAAACATTAATTGAAGGTTTTTGATATTACCTAAGTCATATGGATTATCTTGTCTTGTTTGTTTAGTGCTACAACAAGAGAAATAATCCCGTTCTATAGTTGTAGAATTTGTTAAAGCAATTGGTATCTGAACTGTGATCATAGAAAATGCTGATAGTCCAAATGCAATTCCTACAAGTAAATGTACTAAATGAACAGTCCCAGAGACAGTAAATGCTTTGTTCTGAATATAATCTGTTACACTAAATAATGCAGAAAAAACTGTTACAATACAACAAGTTAACCCAGCATAACTGAGGAAGAGAATAAAGAATTTGTGATTCTTAAATCCAACACAGGTACCTAGCCAGGGGCAGTGATGATCCATTTTTAATACACAAGCTTGACATTGACTACAGTGATGACACCTCATAGGTTTTCGATGATGACAACGTTTACAAATTTTAAATTCAGTATTCTATGATATAAATAAAAGATAAATAGAACAAGAAAAAACAAACAGTGTCAATGTCATTTGGCAACCAAACATCTGTAAATACGGTTCGATAATATGACCATATTGTTAAAACTATACTAGGAACATATAAGAAGAAATAAAAAACAAGAAAACAGTAACTTTTATTTATTATACAAATTATTTCTTCAGAACAAAATAATGAAATAGTAGTGAAGAAAATTAATGACGTAAATGAAACAGCTAAGAAACGATATTTTTTGTATTGAAAATGTTTTGGTATAAAATCACTTCCCATAACTAAACATTTTAAGTTCTTATAAACCTTGAACCAAAACTTTAAAAAAAAAGTTGGTTTTAGTCAAATTAAACAATGTTGTAATGATAGTTAAAATAAATTTAATTAGTCAATATAAGGTATTAAATCAACTAATAACTTGTATTGAAAGTCAGGGTCTTCTTCAAAAAATAATAAAGTTACATCTTTATGAATAACAGGATATTCTAATTGAGCAGATATTTTACTTGTAATCCAATCTTTTATATCATCAAATTTACGTCCATTGTCATATAATACAATTGCATTCTCTTTTCCTTCTACTAATGCCATCCAATAAGGAGAACCCATTTTTGGATATATTGCAATTTCACTTGTTTTAATTTGGTCTTTAATACCTACAATGAACCCTTCTTCATCCATAAGAATACGTTCATCTATATCAATAAAGAAAGTTTCTTTTAATGTTAATGTAGCTTGAAAATATGAAAGTTTACCTTTCCAACCTCTAGGAGTAGTAATAGAATCTAATGTATATTTTGATGACGCATATAATTTTCTTAGAGAAAATAATGACAGAGGATTGATTAATGGAATCTTTTTCATTATCATACAATATTTTACTTTCTTTCCAAATACATCAAATTCTTCTTCTTCTTCTCTTTTTACATTTGCTAAAAATTTCTTTGAGTATCCTTCTTCACTAGATATATAAAGTATATTGTTTGGATCAGTTGACATTACAGCAAAATCAACAGTATAATCATCATTATATTTAATTGCAAAGAATGAGCCATCTAATCCATTATTTTTAAGAGACTTAATAACTGTTCTTTTTTTTGTATCAATTTCAATATCAGTAATACCTTTTTCAGTAATTACTCTTTTAATTTTGTTTAAAGTGAATATTTTACCAAAAGAAAAAAAGATTTCTGTTGGAAGTTGAAGATTTTGTCGTTGATCTTTATATTTTTCTGACAGTATTAGAGGAGCTGGACTATCAACAAATGACTGTCCAAACTCTGATAAATTAACTTCTATCTTTCCAATGTAATCATTTTCACTTAATTTGTCATAATCAAA